AGAGCGGAGAACTACGTCCCTGTCAGGATTATCGGTATCTCAACGATTGGACCGTACGAAATCAATATCCCCTCCCCTTGCCAAAATCCCTCATTGAACAACTCTATGACGCTAAGTACTTCACGAAGATCGACATTAGATCAGGGTACAATAACGTAAGGATCCACCCAGAAGATCGATGGAAAGCAGCGTTTACCACTCAAGAAGGACTGTTCGAGCCAACAGTCATGTTTTTTGGATTAACGAATTCCCCCGCAACTTTCCAAGCGTTCATGACCAACGTCTGCCAAAAGCAGATAAACCAAGGATGGCTAGTCATATACATGGACGACCTATTGATCTTCTCAAAGGATCTCCAGCAGCACCAAGCACGGACCATCGAAATCCTCGACATCCTTAGAAGAGAGAAACTATTCGTTAAACCGGAAAAATGCACCTTTGATGCGCGAGAGGTAGAATATCTTGGAATGATGATCCGACCAGGGGAAGTAGGGATGGAACCCGCCAAAGTAGACGGAATCAAACACTGGCCAACCCCGGAGAACCTAAAAGACACACGGTCTTTTCTAGGATTCTGCAATTTCTACCGGACGTTCATTGCTCACTACTCGGATATCGCTCGACCCCTTATCGACCTCACAAAGAAAGACCACCCTTTCGTTTGGACTGACAAGTGTCAGAACGCCTTTGACCACCTTAAAAACGCCTTTTTATCGCAACCAGTCCTAAGAAACCCGGATCCGACTCGCCAATTCGCAATTGCTACCGATGCATCGTTGGCAGCAACCGGAGCAGTGTTGCTGCAGACTGATGAAAATGGAATGTACCATCCATGCGGTTACCTATCCCAATCTCTCAACCCCGCAGAACGAAACTACGAAATCTTTGACAGAGAACTACTGGCAGTCATTAGAGCACTCTCCGAATGGCGCCACTATTTAGAAGGGAGCCCCCACACCGTGATAGTATTCACGGATCATATGAACCTCCTGTACTTCCGCTCCGCCCAAAAGCTGACACGAAGACAGGCACGTTGGCAGCTCGCCCTTTCCAATTATCAGTTAGAGTTGCATCACGTCGCAGGGACCAAACTAGCCGCCCCTGATGCCCTTTCTCGACGCCCCGACCATTCACTCGGAAAAGACGATAACGACAATCGCATTCTCCTCCCTGATACCATGTTCGTGCGACTAATTGACAATGATTTGTCAGAAAGTATTGCACGCAACTCCGCCAACGATCCCGTCTACCAGAAAGCCCTGGAAGCATTGGACGGAGTATGCCTTCCCCCAATGAAATCCGCCCTCTCAGACTGGACGTGCACCGATGGCGTCCTCTTTTATAAAAATAGAGCTTACGTCCCAGCAGCCCAACGACATGACGTGTTATTTAAACACCATGATCATCCCACTGCGGGACATCCCGGACGATTCAAGACGGAAGAACTCGTCAAACGAGATTTTTGGTGGCCAGCCATGGGAACTTACATCCGCAAATATGTCGACGGATGTGCATTATGTCAGCAAATGAAGGCTGACACGCACCCGGTCACTCCACCGTTGCGACCGATCCCCTCCATCGCCACTCGCCCCTTCTCCCAAGTCTCTGTTGACCTTATCACCGACCTACCTGTATCGGGCGGTTTTGACTCTATCATGATCGTGGTAGACCATGGGCTTACGAAGGGGGTAATTATTTCACCTTGCAATAAAAACATCACCTCCGAAGGAGTAGCCAGACTATTCCTCAAAAACGTGTTCAAAAGATTCGGCCTCCACGAAAAAGTGATCTCAGACAGAGGACCGCAGTTCATTTCGAAATTCTCTCGAGAACTTGCCCGACTACTCGGATATCAGATCGCCGCATCAACTGCCTACCACCCCCAGACAGACGGACAAACAGAACGTCTTAACCAAGAATTGGAAACCTACCTACGGATCTATTGCAGGAATAACCCGTTAGAATGGTCAAATCATCTTCCTATCGCCGAATTCGTCCACAATCATCGGAAACACGATGCCAGGAACACGTCACCATTCTTCCTCATGATGGGCTACGAACCACGTGGGATCCCTCACATCTTATCAGTATCAGACACGCCAGCAGCAGAAGAAAGACTCAGAAACCTACAGAAGATACGTGAAGAAGCACTCGCTTGTCATAACATCGCCATGCAACGAATGGCAGAAAGATCTCGCCATGGGAAATACCGACCATGGAAGATAGGAGATAAGGTATGGCTTACGGCCACCAATCTCCTGACATCTTTACCTTCTAGGAAACTTGCGCCCAAACGATACGGCCCATTCGTTATCACCGCAGTCTTATCTCCTATCACATTTACTCTAAAACTCCCAGACCAGTGGAAAGTTCACCCCACGTTCCATGCTTCCGAACTATCGTCCTATCGCGAAACAGAGATACACGGACCGAACTACACCGAACCTCCACCTGACATTATCAATGGCGAAGAAGAATATGAAATAGAAGCTATTCTTAGCCATAAAGGCACGGGTAAACGAAGACGCTATCTCGTATCATGGATAGGCTACTCTTCCGGAAGCAACGAATGGATACCCGAGGAGAACTTGCGGAGTTCGAAAGAGCTTTTAACAACATATAAGAAGAGGCACAAGCTAAACTGAACGAACCATTCCCCTGTAAACGAAACCCAAGTGACCAATATGCCCTTCCCCGCATCCACCTACACTCTGCCATACCACTCCACCTTCGAAACCTCCGCCCTTGACTCCAATGACGAACGATACGAAACGTACATCACCCAAGCTGAAGACCTCACTCTCATTGAGGCAGCACTTCTCTGCCCCCAACATGCCATTGAGCTCACCAGAGTCCTCTTCGGAAGAAACGCCCACTCTATCAACCTCCTCATCAACATCATTAGAGCCACCGAGATCATCGAACGAGTCTGTCGTCTCGTTGAAGACAACACGGTCCGCCACAGTCTCATGCATATGCAGAGGCGCATACGCAACTTTGCTCTGCGCCTTATTCCTGAAGAAGTTAAAGACGATATTAGAACGGTCATCCACATCGTCTCAGAACAAACCGCAGGGGTTGCGCGCCCACCTTCCCCTATGGGCTCCACCGGAGGAGTCCCTCCTCCCTCATACCAAGACGCTGCTCCTACTCTCTCTTCTCACATTCCTAATGAGTTACTGGCTGCGGTCAATAATCTCGCGCAGACAACGGAAGCCATGTTAGCTTCCCTCAGAGAAGAAAACCGCCAAGCAATCCCCGTACCAGCCCCTACGGTGGAAACTATTGAACACCCTCCCCATCTTTATACTGCGTTCTCTGCTACCCGCGAAGAGATCACTGCTGATCCAAACCAACAACTCTTATCCTATCATGAAGAACAGGACTTGGCCAACGCATTGGCCTCGCTCCACATTCATCCCCCGATTGTCATTCCGGATTCATTATCGACGCATACCTTCACGGATGGAATAGTACCCATGCAAGCGTTGGGAAGAACTCAACCTGCCACTCCTGCTGAGCTAATCGCGGAGGCAGAGCAACGAGGTGTAGCCATTAGGCACCCCATGCAACGAACCGATTTAACCAGGAAAAGAACGCGAGCTCGGCGCTCTGGTAAAGATAAAGGAAAGAGACGCGCCACCAGTGCAGATGAAGCACTTAGTCCTAAGCCAGGCCCATCACCCTTACGAGCGACCTCCTCTAATCCTGATGAAAACCGCGTATGCAGATACTGCAAAACGATCGGGCATAGGCAAACTAATTGCTCCGACTACTACTGTCGCGTCTGTCGAGAATTGTCTCCAGGCCATCTTTCATTTTATTGCCCACACTATACTGGAGAAACCCCTACTTCTCTAACCTGGAAAGACGAAGGATTTTACCAGGCACTCGCAGCCTGGGAGAACGACGCCGATGACGCATACGCAGCATTATGCAGGGAAGAAGAAATGCTCTATTCGGAGGAACGCATGAAGGCTGGACCAGAAGACGACTTAGAGTATTCTGACGATCCCATCTACTATGCTAACCAGGATGATTGAATCCGGTGGTTTCAACCCTAGTAAGGGGGTAATGTTACAGTAACATTTAAACCCCTATATTCATTTCCTTGCTACCTCTAAACGGGCCGTCCGTACCACGCTTATCTCTTATCATGCTTATCTCTTATCTCACCAAGCGGGCTGTCCGCCTCTTTCTGCTTCTATCTTGATAACGCATTTACAAGCTCCGCTTGAACACTGGTATATAAACCTACCTACCTACTGTTGTATTACTTACTTTAATCTACTGGGTTTTACCTGGAACATTGTCCTTCAGTAAGGTCTTCAACCTTACTGTCTAGAACCACTATTCTAAGGGAGTCAGCGACACTCGCCTTAGCCAGAAACCTTGATCTCTCAATCGAGAGCAGACTTACGTCTATCTAGGCATCCTGCCGATTGTCTACTCAGACAGAGATAGCTCGACTCATCCCAGTCGTAACAACATCTGGGTTATGTGGAACAGTACAGAGACGAGGTGATTCAGGGTGTATGGTTGGCCTTCGTGACATAATAGCTTGGAAGCGAGGAATTTTTCGGCACTGTCAGTGTCCATTACACTGTTGGGTGTCGCCATAATTTCCTCGAGCGAAGTGTTCGTTCTGGTGGTTCTGCGGGTGTTGAGTCCAGTAGTTGGAGTCGGGGAATTAGGTTTGGATGAGCTTGATCTGTTACCGGAGGCTTGTTTACCCGGAGGCATATTAGTAGTAGTGTTTTTCTTGGTTGTAGGCTTATCTGGTTGTTTTTGGGAGTTTTCTGGGTTTTCTGGTCTATATCTAGGGAGGCTGGATGATTCTAAGTGGTTAGTTGGGTGCGCAGAGGCGCTGTTTGGCGGCCTTGGCGCTGTTGAGTGCGATGTTGAAATTGGGTTTTTGGGGTCCTGATCGGGGTGCCACTTGGTTCAGGTCCAAGAAGCGGTTCGTATTCAGTTGTTTCATGATTCATGTCAAATGCCCATCACACGTTAATCACCTCCAGCAGATCCGACACTTTGACTAGCGGACCCGACATTTCGGCTGCAGCGGACCCGATATTTTCCCGTGCACTTGTCCTATCCGTGTCCCATCCTGTCTTGCTAGCCCCACTAGGTGCATAGTTCATTATTTCGCACATTACTCACGTCGTAGCAAGAGCTATTACATGTTTTCCCATAGTCCGCAGCGCCTCATGTTTATTTACATGTACTTCGGATCCGAAATCATCGGCCGCTACCTTCGCCTACGGGTTCCGCATTTCTACGTACTTACATATATATTGGACTGACCTCAAGCATTATTCATCATCCAAGTAGTGGGGAGCCGTTCTCCAATGCTTTGTGGTCAAACCCGATATTTCATAGTTCTTAGTTGACATTGCGAATATTACCACTCTTTCTATCCGAAATAACCGTCTTTATCGATATTCACCGCATACCGCTCGCTTTCCCGACATTCGTTGTCATTATTCTCCGTAGTCCGCTGAACCCGCACCCGAAACCCGCTAGTCCACTAACCCAAAAACATCGGATCCGATGCTTTGGCGTCGGACTAGTGATTATACCTCCGAACTTTGTTTCCCATGCTCGGACTTTTGATCACTTATCATTTCACTGTTTTCAGACTTATTCCAGATAGCTAACCCCTCGGGTTGAACGCACTTGTCTTCAAGTATAGCAGACTAGGACGTGCAGACCACAACATTATTATATTGCTGATTACTTACTTCGAGTAGTATTCAGCCATTGTTGTCTCATTACAGCGCCAAGCATGCTGACGGCTCTCCTGTTGGTAATTTCATTCCATTGAATCAACTTCGTGCGTTCATCAGCGTTATCCCTCGACTGGGGGATGTGGCGGATGCGCGATTAACAAAAGCGATGTCTTCGCATTATTCACACTCGTTTTTCTTGAATAAATACTTCAATAAAGAGATCTATGATGCCATTTACTATGCTTCACAATGATAGTATTAGTAGATACATCCAATCATGCTAGTACTTACAATATTTGCTTGTTGAACTGAATCGTTTGGTTGGCACGAGAATATCTTTACTCCATTAAGGATAAATTTAGAAGCCTATCACATATCACAATATGAATGAGCGTGGCGCATTGTGCATTGTGCAAGGAAGGTCTAAGCACAACGTTGCTGTGTAAAACATCTTGACCATGTCAATGGCACTGTCTTTTACCAATCATTATCTGCTGGCAACAGTTACAAGCTCCATCCCTGCTGGTGGCGATTTTTTACCTCGTTTGAAGGAAGACATGGATTTACTGATGAAAAACAAACTCTTACCTGTGGGTAGGGATGGCGCGCTCGCTGGAGGCAGACAAGTCTTATGGGAGGAGGGGATGAAAGGCAGAAAATCATCCATCCTGGATGCCCTTATTCCGGGATTGGACCTCACAACCAAAGATATCTTAGGCATCAGATACATCAAAAAAAAAGGTGAAGTGCTCTTACAGGGAGCATCTTTATTACAGAACCTGCAGACTGGTCTAGAATGGAGGCTCGATGGTGCCTTTTCAGGTCCTGTGAAGAAGTTAAGGCGGCAGTGGGAGTTGGAGACTGAGACAGACCTGGAGGAGATAGATGAAGATTCAATGATGGACACAGATGCCAGCTGGTCGCAGCAATCGTTCAATGCTGCAGCTGGACAAAAGAGACCAAACCTTCCCGTCAAGTCATTAGAAGAGAAAAGCTGGGAGCGCCTCTTGCGGAGTATATACTATGCTATGTGCAATATCATCCGTGAGGCCAGTGACGAATCCTCCCAATCAGACTCACCGAACCCCCTTCCCTTCAATGTCGTCCCGGAACCACGGTACTGGTCCTCCGAATTCGCCACCACACCCATTCCAGATGCCACCGACTCGCGCAAGCCTGATTTTAGTCCTCATGGACTTCAGGCTGAAAAAGAGTCAATCAGGTGAAAAGACCTGGGCGGATGTTCTCACCAATATCGAGATCACCAAGTCGGAATTAGTTCAAGGAAAAGATATACCCATATTCCTAGGGGTCGCCACCAAGGGTTATCTTATAATGTGAGAACAGCTGTGGCGCCATTTCGTCATTTCATTTAGTATCGCAAACCTCCAGCTCCGCACTCATTATATGGACCGCTCTGGAATGATAATCTCTCAACCTGTCCCAATTGGTTCAAGTGCCATGCGTTTCGTCGATGTCTTAAACACAATAACACTATCAGACCTAGCTTCCCTTGGGTTCGATCCTACTGTTCACATTTGTACCGACCTCTGCTCCACTGGTTCTCACAATGATCTTCCTGAGGGTATAGATCCCATGCCGGAAGGAACAAAAGGCTGGGTAATGGACAACGACAGTGAGGTGTACTGGATTATGAATATTTTATGGAAGAGTCGTGGTCTATTTTCGCACGGGACCGTTTGTTATCGTGTTCAAGATCAGCACGGAACAGAGTTTGCATTGAAGGATTGTTGGGTCGATGCAGAAAACCTGAATTATGAAGTGACACTCCTCCAGGCAGTCGATGGCATTCCAAATGTGGTCAGTCTCAAAAAATATTGGGACGTCCAGTATGCCGGACAATCAGACTGCACAGCGAGGATTCGCGAACACATTAGCGAATACCTTCCAGAAGCACCGATATACTCTAACAAGGTTCATCATCACATGCTATTGACCCCTTGCAGGCTTCCGCTGACGACCTTCAAGTCCCTCCCTGAGCTAGTCAGCGTTTTTCGAGATCTTATCGTTGGTGAGTTTCTTTCGTGTTTGTTAAAGTTCTTTGTAATGACAGCCACTACCAGCTCATGAAGCAATGGTCACCCAGCGGAACATTCTACATGGTGACCTCAGTCCCAACAATATAATCATCCATGATGGAAAGGGCTACTTCATCGACTTTGATCATGCCAAATTCCTCAAAAATAATGCAGCAGTAGATTCGTGTGGTACTGTAAGTTATATTTCTATACATTCTTTGTTTATATATATAGCTCATATGCCTCAACCTTGAAGGGAACTGTACCCTATATATCCTGCCATCTTCTAAAGCTCATAGGAGACGTTCCGCGTCCATCTGTGATTGACCACAGAGCCTCCGACGACCTGGAGTCACTCTTTTATATCCTCCTCGAATTCACAACCACGTATGAAGGACCCAATGGCAAAGCGTCAGCCGAAGGAGTGCACCCTGTCAATGCCCCTAGGTGGCGCAAGGCTTACCTGACGATGGAGACGGTCTCGGGACTAGTGGATCATTGAAGAAAGAATTTCTCATAGAGAAACATCCACACTACAAACCGACACCATACTTTTGAGCTTGTCGCCCCATCCTTGAGGAATGGCGCAAGGCAATTGGGGATGCACTACACAACGAACATGACTTGTCTCACGAGGAAATCCTCAAGATTATGCAACAGGGTTTGGAGAAAATTCTAAGCTTTCCAGGTACCCCAACATCGCTAAGTGTTGCATTTTTGCCAGTGCCATCTATCGCCACTTCTCCTCCTACTTCTCCTCCTACTTCTCTTCCTCTCCCTGCGCGTCCTCATCACCCCACTTTTCTCCCTCCTGCTTCTCTCCCACCCCCTCCTATTGAAGCTATGACCCAGGATACTGGTGTTCGGCCCCATCATTCGGGGTGGAAAATGCAGATGCTGCCTCCTGAACTCCCGTCAATGCCATCTGTTACCCGGGGCGCAATTTCTTCTTCAGCTTCTGGCTCCATGGCATCACCATTTCATTCCTCTTCTCCTCCCCCCACTTCTGGCCCTATGATCAAGGAGACTCGTCTTCGACCTCGTCGCTCCGGGCAGAAGAACAAAATGATTCCTCCTCCACTCCCATCATTGCCATCTGTTGGCCCAAACGAACTTCCTGTCTCAGGTGCTGGCTCCATGACTGAGGAACTTCCTAGTAAGCCTCGTCGTTCTAAATGAAAGACTCGGAAGCAGGTTTAACTGCACGTCCATTATGTTTAACTGTACACTCAAGAACTCAAAAGGCAGGAAGCGCAGGTGCGATTTCTTTGGCTCATTATTAGTTATCTTATTTCACACAAAACTCAAGAATACTTTATGCCATCTTCACTCATGAACTAAGACCTTACTAACATCAGTGTTCATGTGCATGCCGGTTGCCCTTCATATGGTTCCTTGTGCAAACAAGTCCAAGTGCTGATTAGCTTATGTAATACATTTTAAGTATTACTGTAACTGACTACCTTACAGCTTTGTTTTCTTCACTCGATGCCTCCCAAGAAAAGGGCCAGACAAGGTTCCCCAGGCAATAAGTTGAGGAAGGGAGCCAAGGTGGCATGAGCAGATGTTGATCCTGCTCGATGAAGCTCACGGTCCATGCGAGGTATCGGTGGTCATGCTGCACAACTTCAAAAAACTGGTGAAACTCTAACAGCCCCAACGAGGTGAAAGAAGGCATCAAATGATCTTGATATAAGCAACTCCGAAGAAAATCCAATGGCTCCTTCGCAACTCAAGAGAGCCCCTTCAGTAACTTTTTTCCGATATATAGGGCCACCCGAAGTTGATAATCTGCCCAATGAGACGGGTCACCCAAGATGGGCCCAAATGAAGGTGTACTGATGGAGAGGGGTGGGCCCAAGATATGGTCTTGTGGTCCATAATTTAGGGGTGGGCCCAGTATGTGATATAAGTATTGTGCTACCAATATGGATGGTTGGGCCCATACAATAGTATACCCATACTGATGGCAGGGCCAATATGAGTAGGCGAGATATAGGGATGGGCCCAGGTGCCTGTGCTTCCGAGATGGATGGATGGGTCCATACAATAGTACAACCTATATTAATTAATAGTAGGGCTGATTGAGCAAGCAATATATAGGGATGGGCCCAGACAAATGTGCTGCCGAGGTGAACAACTGGGCCCATACAACCATACAACCTATATTAATTAATAGTAGGGCCGATATGATAAGCCGAGATATAGGGATGGGCCAACTGCTGGTGCTGCCGAGGTAGACTGCTGGGTCTGCACAATTGTACTACCGTGATCCAAGAGCTCAGAATTTCTTTCCTCCGGAACATATGCACAACCTGACCCATGCCATCTAAACACATGTGGACCCGGGATTATATCCTACCGAGATACAGCATCAGCCAATACGGAAGGACGCAGTCATTGTACTGCGGACAATGGCAGGTTTGAATAACAGCAGCCATGAACCATTCCACAGCTACCTGGAGCTCATCTACATGTAGAAATAACCTTCATTCCGGATGCTGATACCACCAAGATTGTGTCATAGCCCACGGTCAAATTGGGATAATAACTATCAAACCACCCGAATACGTGTACTACCGAGATCGCAGTGTAGCCGGCTATGCAGGGCCTGTTGAAGGGCTTCTGCAGTTATGAAAACCGAAGAAGTTCTTCAACAGGTCCTGCACCCGAACTAGAAACATGGGTAGCAGAACCACACATGAAATGGTATGAATGAGCGTGTGGCAAGGAATGACATGTAAATGACAAGAGAATGAATATGGTGTGTTGTGATGTAAAAAAGGAGGGATGGGTGTGAAATATCTTTAAGATGTAAGCGGCAAGCAAATGATCAAGGTAGGGATAGTGTATTAATAAAATACTGGGGGTGTAATGTAAGAAAGGGGGAAGAGGCGTCCCTTATGATCCATCAGGCCGGACATGTCAGTCCAAGTGTGCCATACCTAACGAAGTCAGCCTGATTGTACTTAACATGCTCATACATGGCAAGGTCAAGCGGGTTGTACTTGGCATATTCCAGGCGTGGGGTTCGGGCATAGTTGTGGACGCTGTCACGGACAAACCAGGCCCAAACGATCCTGTCGCCCTCATCCACCCGAACCCCGTGTCTAATGAGTCGTCCCGAGTAGCCCACCATGACGCCGGGATCATATGCTATATCGATTCCGAGGTTGATCAAATGCATCACGGCTTGCCGATAACTCCCGATGCTCGTCAGGATATCAAATCCTTCAGGTGGACATTTCAGGTCTCAGTGGTATGGAGACAATCTGTTGCACATAACTGCGACTCCGGTGTAGATGGACGCCCAATGCTTGAGGTTTTGGTACATGTCTTCCAACCCCTAAGAAGCGGCCCAATGACTGAGTTTGATGTGGGTTCAGACGGAAGCCCAGTATTGCTGTGGGCATGACACGCATGGCAGCTGAAGCCAACAGTCCAGGTCTCTGCATTTCAAAAATCATCGACATGCCCCTTTCACCCTTCAGGGTAGCTGAGACCTCCGGCATGAACCCATCCCGGGTATTCTCAGGAGGTGTACCCTGGCACTATTGGATGTCAGATACGTCGGTAGCTGATAGAAAAACAACCTCTTACCTCTCGGCCTTGTTGGAACCAGCACGGAGCTATATTGATGCACCCGGGGGTAACATCAGCACCGTTGGTGGCATGGAAGTTGGCACCATTGGTTCTCCACTGACCAGCTCCGCGGGTAACACTCTTTCGCAGGTGGTGACTCATTCTGAGAGTGGCGGTGTACATATCACTCTGTTGACATCTGCATGATAAATTGGCAGCATAGAATTCAATAAAGTACCGACCTGGATGTAGCCATGCAGTGCCTCCGGGATGTACCAGATAATGATCCTGTAGCCAGAATCCAATACAACCGAAGGATGGGTCAAGAGCATTCTCTCAGCAGGAGGGAATCTAGCCAAGAGCGATCTTTCGTGCGTGTCATTCATACCTGTCTCCCGTTTGGTGAGAGCTTCATTGTAATGAATCAGGTCAATATCCAGTTGGACTTGATCCCGAAGGCCAGGAAGGATCAACATAATAGTCAAGGGACTGACTTGGATTCCGGTAGGCCTCAGCCAGGAGGAATGCGAGCTGGCTGCATGCAAGGATGGTGGGAACATCAAGCTCGGGAGGTGGGGGAATGAGAGGTCTACCAGCAAGATGGGCCATATACTGCTGCTCCACCCACTCGCTTGCCAAATTAACGGTGTGCAAGGCCCAGTCAGCTGGGATCTCGGGAAGAGGATGGAATTTATTCAAGCGGTGGAACACGTGATCCCAGCAGGAGGACCACTCTGGGGGGATATCAGACATGACGGGAATGAGATCAAAGGACATCCATCAATCAGCCCACATTTATTGCACCATTTGCTGAGCCTTGTGCAGCAAGCACGTCCGGGACATAATTGAGGTGCATGGACTATTACCTGTGGTACATGTAAGCGAACTGGAGGGAAACACATGCAAGCGCGGAAATACAGGCACACTAATTTCAAATTTCATCATTAATACATCTTATCATTTCTTTTGATTCCTACTGAGGTAATGCACCAGCGCCATTTAATTATAATCAGTACCAACATATACGAGAAATAAATGTATGTACAGATATGGACTGAAAACTATGAACCCGGGCTCTACTCCCATTTGATGCCGAGCGTGTCGATCAATTCATGTGATGCTCGCATGGCATCCATTACCTCATCCACCGGTCCTTCCAGCTGGGTTAATGCATCCATGGCAAGATTGCCTTCCTCTACCTTTGTGAGCAGCATGCTATGCAAACCTTCTCCCAGCCGTTGCACGTTTTCCCTGATGCAGCGGACTTGGTGCAGCAAGGGATCACGGCTGGTGGGCATCTGGGGCAGCTTTGGGATCAGGAGATGACCCGCAGGCTGGGCGTACACAAAATGATCAGAGAAATCCTGCTGAATCCGAAGAGAAGTACTCACCAGCTGTTCAAAATGCTCCTCAACCAACTCCTTGACCTCAAGGAGGGAGATGCGGTTGGGCATCTCAAAAGGACCGAGGTCGAAATGATCGTTCCACCAGCAATAAGCATATTTATTGACAATTCGGCAGCAGGCCGTGATGTCTCCGTCCACCATACAGTCGAAGTTCTTGAATGCATCGTAGAGTTCGTTGTTGTCCAGGGCTCCGATCTGCCAACCTGCCAAGATCCAGACGACATCACACAGATACATTGGCATGGAGGGACTGACACGACTGGCCGCGCAAATGTTGATGAACAGGAAGACAAACCGCTGTGGAACATCTCGGGAGCTGAAACACCGGAACCAAAGTATACAAACGCACCTCGGCTTCCCATACCAAATAACGGACAAACTGTGAATGGTAAGCATCGGTCCGGTGTAGAGACTCGCGCCTCTCAATGCCGGACATACGGCCCTATGAACCACATATTCCTTACATATTCCAGCTCTTATCCGAAGGATCAGTCATACGCGCTCCTGCGCGCACGCCCTACGTACGCACCTTGTTCACGTGCCTTATATGCACTCGTGCACTTCCACGCGCGTCCGTGCGCCTCCCCTTAGGTCTTCTCGTGCCTACCCGTCCATCCGTCCGTCCTATATCCTCACTGATTTACTGGTGCGTTATTCTTATCTCTTTCACTGAATTGACGTGCACTCGGTCCGATCCCCGCGCTTACATACAGAAAGTCTATCTTAGACTTTAGATTATATTTAGAGTTGATATGGTTACTCGGTTCAGTACCGCGCTTGGAAGCGCCGCATAGCGCTATCTCCCTTCTTAAATAGAGGGAAGTTCTTTTTACTTCGGTTACTACTTTTCCCCCCATTTATCCCAGTATACTGCAAGTTGTATAGTGCACCTTAGTACTTGAAATCAGATTATACTTCTCCATCTGCTACAGCTCGCGCCTCTACTATACTTGAAACCACATCCCTTATCACTCATAAGTGTGCTTCCGCATACGCGCGTGCCCCTCACATCTCGCGCGCCCTCGCATCGCTCACGCGCGCCTTCATGTGTGTTATCTTCTTGCGCCTACCAGCGCCCGTCTAGTTGACAGAGTTTCCCTCCACCTTATTCGCGAGGAACTTCTCTCAGTAGCTGTCCTTTGGGTCAAGTTGTATTCTCATATCCAGGTCTTGCTGTAGAGCCCCCTTCTTTTAGTGTTTTCACCCACAGTCAAGATTCCTCACCTTCACCGGGTCACATGACTTCGCTGGTGAGAGAGCTGAATGCTGGTAAATCGGGAGGTGGCATACTCCAAGATGTTGGCGGCATCCCAGAGTGACAATGTAGAGTCCTCCGATCTGTAATGGTCATTGGACATGTTGAAGACTGAATGATATTGTGGGGATAGTGTTTTTGTATAACAGTAGGGAGGGAGTGCGGCATATAAATAGACAGAGCTGGAAATGGCCACAGCAAACCTTATTGTTTAAATGTGGCTATTGTGCCACATTGACATGTGGAGAATGAAAGTCCGATATTGTTCTTGTCCAGTGGACTGGATGTGATTACCTCATAAACACCACAAAGTATGTGACAAGTCCATTCGGGTGATCCCAAATGATATATTGTTTACCCAAGAACTACTGAGAGGGGAGTTGCTGCGTGCATAGATACCTCCCGGAATCAACAATATTGAATCAATGCCCGCACGATCCTCCGAGATGACCCACCGAATAGTGATTAGAATGAGTCATTCAGTAATTCAATCAAATGTTCCTCCCGATGCGGGAATGTAATGCTCAGTTATTCCATTTGAATTCCGGGTTGACTTTCGAGAAGCTGGTATCAGCCGCATCAGCCAGCGCCCGATACACCTGCGCCTGTCTCACTGCATAGCATTTATGCCCATCCCAATCTCAGTTGCCTGCATCTCCTTCAGCTCTAGCCAACCATGCTCTGCTTTTGAATATGAAAAAATCCATGGTCCATCGCATTTCATGCTCCACTAATAATAACTCCTCGGCCCAACGGTCGCGCAACGATTTCATACGGAGCCAATGCACCCTGTAAACTATCGAGACATTAAGGAGGAAGATATCACATATATAGAAAACTTGCATTTGGTCATCAAATCGCTGCTGGTGGAATCAGCCTGCACCTCGAATGACCAAAACCACGGAAGAGTAGAGTTTCTCTGCCCCCGGGCATTTGGGTCCGCTACTGCCGCACTTGTCTTTAAGTCTTTCTTGTCCAACAGCTGATATTTTTCCAACACGCCGAAGGCCTCCAATTTGACCAGCTGCTGCCGACATTTCATATAAATGTGACTGTTAAGCCTGATCACCTGCTGTACTGAATGCACTTGCGCCCAGGCCCTGGTTGACCGGGCCTGCGATTTAGCTGGACAAACTGTGGTGCGAAAGAGAACAGCTTTATCTGCGAGATGAACCCAGAGTAGGTGCAAAAGATTGTTGGCCTGTCCTTCTCTCAGGGTAATCTCCTGTGCGACGAGGTCTGTCACCGACAGTTCATCGCACCGTGCCAAGCCGATGTTTGATGGAAGAGGAATGACAGTAATCTCGGGGCGAAAGACTGCCGCAGGACCATCTTCCGAGGGCTCTATGCCAACTTCCTGCCAATCGTCTTCAGGAGCATCTGTATCATCGTCGACGAATGCTAGATTCATGTCTGGCACATCTTCATCCTCATCAAAACCTTGACCAAGATATCGTTCAGCAGCCAGGTTGAATTCGTCGATGGTGTGTTGCAAAGCGACCCTGCGACGGGCGATAGACAGTTTTTGAGTCTCGGTAGGATGTCTGCCGAGCTTTCATATGTCCATGGCCAAAGCTATCTGGGACTCCTCAATGGTGATGCTGGATGCTATCCAGGTGGCGGCACCAAGCCTGCGATGAGCTTCGTGTCGACGCCCTTGAGATTGCAGGATATCGAGCTCCACTTGTTTCTGACTCGGTGCTATGCTCGGGTCAACTGATTATTGTGCAGCTAATTACGTCTGCCACGATACATACCCTTTTCCAAGTGAACCTCATATATATCCATGGATGACGGGTCTTCCGCCCGAGATGCATTAGCAGCTGTTTCTTGCTCTTGCCATTCTGTCACCATGTCGGGATCAGCGCTCTCATTCAATTTTTCAAAGGCTTCGCTGCTCTCGGCAGCACCTTGCTTGGCTTCTTTGTATTTCCTACAAAGGAATATGCCTGCAGGATGATCAGTGGGGCTATCTGCAGCCATCACATGTCTTACTCATTCTGATCATCTTCATGAAATTGCAGTCATTCATCTGGTAGTCAAGACACTCCTGCCGATGAGGAGTGGACATACCTCGGCAGGAAGGAGATATGATGTTGAGAGGTGCCCACAGCGTCTCCATGATCTCCCCATCAATTCTTGCCACTCCCGTGATAAAATTCGAAGCGTACCTCACGTAGCACTGGTCCTGGTGACCGTGCACATGCCAAAGACCAATTCCCGGGATGACCTCCATTCCAAATGGGATTGCCAAATATGGGCTGTCCTCGGTCCGATGCAATAGATATTTGTTGTACTGGCAATTCACATCGTAAAACGTCAAAGCAGTTTCCAATCCTTGAGTGTTGTAACTGAGAACGTTGCAAAGCGCGTAGTCCATGTTCATTTGCCTGGTCCCAAAGGTCAGCCAATATGAACAAAGCCATTCTCGGGAGGTCTCACCTCTCGCCCTTCTGAAAATCCACCATGGAATGAGGGACAAAGCATCCGTGTCTGGCACAGGCACACCCACCGATGCCTGTAGCTTCCAATTTGTGCCGAAATGCATTGGCCTGATTCACTGCCCGGTGGTTGTTGCACTCGGACCTTTGCATTGAATCCATTGCTACGGCCAAGTGAGCCTTGTACCTTTTCCTACCGACCATGAACCCAAGGCCGTCCATGAGCCATACTTCATCGTCTGGATTGGTCGGGTGGAGATGCTCGGCTTTGAAATTTCCGTCCATGACCAACGAGTGGCCATACAGCCATCTCGGCTTCATTTCGTTGTATTTGGTTGGCAGCGCGACATTGATTCTGGGTTGTGGGCATGTCAGGCAGAAGAGACCCAGCTCGCCCGGTTTGGGATGTGTTCTTCCGTGAGCAAAACCATTCCATCTGAGAAGCTTCAGCTGCCACCATTGCCTTGCCACTCCCATCAATTCCCTGTATCTATCCTGCCGAGCTGTCGGATCAGCATTAATATGCAGCCATCCTCTGGATTTGTCCTACCGGTACTAGGTGAGGGAAGATGCTGGACATTCTCCACCGCAATTTATTGTAATAGTTCATAGCAGAAGTGCCGGACTCTACATTGTCAAGCGCAAAATCATTCAGCAAGGCAAATGTGAATGCGGTCCTAGGCCGGGTGAAAGAGGCCGGGAACAAACCCATTTGAAACAACTGTTTCTCCGCATTGGGAGCATCGGTGCATTGGCAGAAATGGATTATGAGATAATGTATGCCCGTGATATCAACCACTGTTACCCGCACGATGCACCCGACAACGGGCATTCCCTTGTGTCCTGAAGTACCATCGGTTGGAGAGGAGTCCTCATCGTCAGTAAATTCCTCAATGGCTGGCATATCCACCGAATCATTGTCAAATACATCCTTTTCCTCCCGACGGATCTCTTCAGGTCCTCCCGTGTTCCTCGGGCATGGGAGTCCCCTATGGCTGAGGTGGTACTCCATGCCCAATTTCGTCAATGAGCTCTCCTCGAAGAAGTCTCTGTTCCACTGACTAATCTTATGGAATGGCAGTCGGACATGCTGTGTTCGGCAGCACTCACTGCAGAAGATCGGCTCTGAAAAACAGTTGTGACACCTATAAGCTCCATCTCGGTCGCACAACGAACACACCCTGTCTGAATGAGGAGCCTCCCTTGCCATGAACATATCCAGGTAATCCTCGGTCCTGTGTTTCCATTCCCTGAGGTAGTCATTTGGACCCTGCGATGATGCTGTCAGCCGGAAACCAGTAGATGGAGATGTGGGAACAGACTTGCCTTTGTCTTCTTCCTCTGCCTCTTCATATTTGGGAATGGAATGGGCCCTTGCCCCTCGTGCTCGAAATTGACATCTCAGTCTGGGAATAATTGATGATGCATGATGTCTGAACCTTGCTTGGTTGGAGATTTTGTTGGCGAGGATGAAACAGACTTGCTTGGTTGAGTCCGTTTAACCAGGACCCACCTGGGTTTGAGACCTCGAGTGGTTTTCTTCGGCTTCCATTCCACCAGCTGAGCTGTGCCCCGAGGAGTGCATTCCTTTATTATTGTCCTGGCCATTGGGCTGAAATGTGAAATCGGAGGTCCAACCAAAGTCGTTGTTACAGCATTACCTATAGATTCTATTAGCCTATTATGTCATTGTGACCAAATAATTTCGGAAACCATAATGTCATGAAAGACTGTTCTGTTGCATCATCAGATGCATTTCATGTAGTGATCGTGTTGTCCAGTCTATTGCAGAATGATGTTATGAAAGCATGCAGCTTAGTGATAATGCTTAATGCTAGTCTATTACAGAACGATGTCATAAGATTGTCTTGCACAAGTGATAATGATATGATCTAGTAGTCTGTTACATAATACTGTCACCAAAGGGTTAACCAAAAATGCTGATGCATGCAGTGTCACATTCCAATTTCCTCATCAGATTTGACGCAACACTTTCATCCCTCACGTCCTTCCTTCTCCACCCTTCCACGCCCATATCGTCTATTCTATCCATACATATATGCCAGACAGAGGCTCTAACCAAGCCAAGGATGCAAATATACAGCCGCCATTGACTCCAGAGGAGCGTGTCATCCTGCAGTCCTATGTCGAACAATGGGAGTCTGCTTCGGGTGAAGACCGGAATCAGGTATGGAAGGATGCGACGCTAGAGGCTCGACTAAAGGCCCCGACCAAGGACAAACAGCTGCTCGAGAAACAAAAGAAGGTGAGTCTATAGAGCAGCTCATAAGGAATGCCTTTGGACTCATCTTTCAGGTGTACCAAAATTGGTTTCGCAATCACAGAGGCAGGAAGCAGGACCAAAAACCCCCCATCAATATGGGAAGGAGGTGGACTTACCGTTGGGTCGTCGACACACTCCGGAAACGGGAGCTGTTGAACAAGATACAGGATGACACAGGGGTAAAACCAGGATCGATGGAAATGATCCAGCATTATTCGAAGTATTTGAGTGCGTTAATAGAGTCTTTGACAGAGGAAGAAATTCAGGAGGCCGTCAAGACAGCAGAAGAGTGGAACAGTCAGGGTGTTCCTCCCGAGGTGCAGATAGACATCGCCAAAAAGAAAAGCGAGAGCATGGTCCACCACTTCGCCAGCAAGATGTACAAACGGGCTGGAATGAGGGTGTTTGTGCTGGCTGCAAGGAAGACAGAAGAGGGCAAGCTGTTGGTGACCGGGTGAGTTGGTTCTCATCACCCGAACAAGACATGTCTCATGTCCCGAAAGCCATGACTATAACGATGAGTTTGGTGGGGTGGAAAGTTTTACAAAGACCTGCGACTGGCAGGTCATATTGCCTGAGTGGGAGCCATATGTGACGAAATTGTTTGGTAAGAAAGGCTCACCAATCTCGGTAGATGATTTACTTCTGACTTACGTGCTCCCGGTAGATGGTGATGGTGAAGATGAGTGCGTGGTGCATAAGGCCGGGAGGAAGGACAACACATACACGCTGGACATAGGAGACAGTGGTGTCCCCATCCTCCCAAACTATGATGAGATGGACTCAGGAACCAGGAAGGCGGTGGTCCGAGCATTTTTAAATTGGCATTATGGTAGGTCACTTACATGCCCCAACAAATCAGATGATCTTAAATCGAATGCAGCCGCATGTTCCGGGAGGCCCAAAGACTCTGTGCCATGGAAGGAACTATCTTCCCGACAAGATGAAATGCTACCGAGAAAGTACCTACCGGATGGTGGATGAATTCAGGAGCCATCGAGGATGAACCGGGAGGAAGCCATGGCCTTGCTCAAATTCTGGTATAACCGACAGGAGGCATCAGATCGTCATATTCTGAAATTTAGTGGGTGGTGGTGCAAGGACCAAGTGAAATCTCCTGTGAAACCTGTAGCATCGGATACCGAAGAGGAATCGACCGTCAGGTCATCTAAGGCGGAGAAAACCAAAAAGTCTTTCTCAAGAAAAACTTCTCGGGAGAAGACGGCAACAGGCCGGGTGGATGATGATTTCACCGGTAGCTCGGATGATGAAAGAGTTCCCGAGAAAGTACCACAACGCCAGGTACAACTAAGAAAGACAAGGCAGGTGGTTGAAGAATCATGGGAAGATTCGGAGGCAGACTCTAACGGTGACGAGCCTCATACGTTTCCGGCCCAGGTGAAGCACAAGCAAAAACCACTGATGAAACATGCCTCGGCAGCTCGGAAGAAACGGCAGCTCGAAGACTCGTCGGAATATTTACAAGTTGAAGAACCTGAAGAGAATGTGAAACCTCCGGCAAAGAAACCACAGGTGAAGCAGAATCCTGGTCGCAAGATTGGTCCTGCTTCTCGTACTGCTGAAATACCGCGCCGAGATCAGATTCAACAGCCTCGTGGTAAAGAGGGCACCTCGTCCATCCTGCCAAACTCTGTCGAGTCTGCCTCAGCTCCAGCCCCATCGGGCAAGAGGCCTGCTCCTGTGCCAACACTGAATAAGCCGGGCCCAAATAAAAAGAGAGCTAGAGCAGATCCGGATGAAATGAATGTAGCAGATGCATCTCCTGCGAAACGCACCAGGAGTCAGACAAAGAAACCGGCACCAGCCAAACGAACGTGCAAAGCAACACGACAATGATCATGCTGCGCCTCTTCGCCTCGGTACATAGAATCAAATTACATAACAATCATAATACAATCATATCTACATGTGATTACTGCTCCCTGTCTACTCTTTTAAGGTCCTTCACTAAAACATCCAGCGGATCCATTATAGCATTGTACATATGTATTAACCGGGTGATCGAGAGAATATCCTCTCCCAACTCGGTCACCCAATTTCTCGCCTCGCTGTATGCCCCGAACAACCGGGAATTGGCTCTCCTCACTCTCGAGGGACCATGGGATGGTGCGAGACCTTGAATGGCCGTCTGCATTATGACGTGCATTTGTTGATCATCTTTAGTTAAATCAATCAGTCACACTCAGACAGATGTTAAATCTCACTCACCATCTGTATGACCCAAAGCATTCAACCTCCGGATAGCCTGCATCATAGCTGCTTCCGCATGCAGAATGGCATCGGGTGTAGAATTAGATGGTTCCGGCCGTGAAACAGAAGTTATGGATGCCACAGATGCATTTGCATCCTCGTCGCCTGCACGGAGGTCGGAGCCGGATGTCAGTGGACTTAAACAATATTCCACCTGCTGCTCTTTGGCTTGCTCCATGGAAGCAGAGTTGTTCCACCCGAGGTCATAAGCCTCATCGATGTCTATAGCTGAAGGCACTGTAAGATATTGATTCTTTGTCAGAACATAGATACCACAACACTTACGGTTGCAGCTTTGATGGCCATCATCAACAGCATCACCCCACCCGAGATCATATTCATTGTCGATGTCGATAGAGTCTACTGCCGAAGGTAAGTGAATGCATGGGGGAAAAAAAGGTAGCTGACTCAATGGTTCCATGATCTCGGGTGGTGAATCAGAATGCAAAGCGGGTGCTCCATCCCACCCAAGGTCATATTCATCATCAATGTCGATAGAGTCTACTGCCGAAGGTCAGTGGATGTGCGAGGAAAAAAAAAGCTAGCTGACTTGATGGTTCCGTGGTTTCGGATGGTAAATCAGAAGGCAAAGCGGGTGCTCCATCCCACCCAAGGTCATAAGTGGCCTCAAGGTCGACTTCTACAGACTCTCTGGGCGTCTCACCAGGATGTAAGTCACCTGCATCGGGTGCAGAATCCCACCCAAGGTCATAACTGGCCTCGGGGTCGACTCCAACAGACTGTCCAGTGGTCTCACCTGAATCAATGCCCGCTTCGGGTGCAGTATCCCACCTGAGGTCATAGCTCACATCCATATTGACGTCGGCATTGGCAGGAGTGGCAGCTCGTCTATTGCTGACCCATTCATTTTGAAACATGGCTAGAAGTCAAATTTAATAGAAGCCGATATTACTAAATATGGACTTACCTGTGAGTTCACCGACGGTATCATTTGCACCGGCAAATGCCCTATCATATGGGCATTCAGGGTCTCCTGGTTCGTCTATCTCAGGTGAAATGTGATACTCTGATAAATTAGTTTGCTTTGCCAAGGTGTTTAAAAATAGACTTACTTTGTATTTTCATTCCATCAAATTTGGATTTGTTCATTTTCGGTGGCACCCAATCGGCTATGGGAACAAAATTACCCCACCATTCTTGATGAGCTTCTTGCATCTGAAGTGAATGGGACTCGCCTGTTGTTGCAACAGGATCAGGCCAAGTTTCATTCACAGGTGGAGTGAAGTGGATGCGGCGGGAAGGCATGATGGGAGGAAATGCGATTTTAAAATGAATGTGCCTGATTTTATAGAAGTTAGCTCGCCACTTGGGTGGATGCAAGGAACAATGGACTTGGATGAATTCACGGTGGAATGGCTCCACAAAGCAGTTGTGGACACATGCAACAATGAAAATAGAACATTTCTCATGATAGACGCCGAGATTGCGCCACTAATGTAATTTTATCGATCTTCGGCCCACATGTACCGCAGGGAACAATAATTCACATTCCACAACCGAGTTATCTCCACAATTTGTCGTTCCCTATAAATACTCAGCCCTTGCCCTCACTTTTCCCTCCCGAACTTCATACACATACTTTAATATCTTGTAACCGACTACACGTCAACCCGAACTTGTACTTATCATGTCAGCTTCTGAACTTGCCAACGCTGCCCTCAATGCTGCAATGGAAGACATCTGGCACTTAATGGTAAGATCCATGAAGTTGCAAGTAGGTCATCCGAACGCTATGGTGTTCGCACATGAGATCACAAAATCATTGTAAGTCTTCTACATTAAATTATATTGTGACCGATAACTCATTATGGGTGTCTTGCAGGCACGTTCATTATGGGAGCATGGGGAGGTCTCCACTTCATTCTCCCCCATGCTGCTGTCTTGTGCAGCCAAGATTCGCGACCATAGTGACCCTGTGACGCGAAAAATCGTTACTCTACCCGACTGGTCTGCAGTCAACATGGACGACCCACGTATCGCTGGCCACCCGCGATTCATGAAGACAATTGGATATCCACGCCCAGATCACATTACTCCGGCACTCACTATTCCTGCCCCTCAGCCACCGGTGATTGCTGACAAACCATCTACTGTTGTTGCATCACCGGAGGTATTGGATTCGGCAGAACTTCCTGCGCCGAAGTTCAACTTATTTGTTGCCGGCACCAAACGCAAGGCTGACAGAACTGACTCTGACATTTGGGAAGAAACTCGGGTGACCAAGCCGAAGCGCAAGGTCTTGAAGACAAATCCAGCACCGCAGCAGAAGACTGCAACATCCTCTAAGAGAAGGAAGATAGTGAGATCGAAGAGGTTTGTCAGTGATGATGAGGATGAAAGTGCTGATGGTGCAGTGATCATCGTCAAGAAAGTAAGTTGTCTTATTTCATTTCAATAATTTTAACTAAAATTCTTCAGCCAGGAATGGGTGCACTGGCCGAACATGTAGTGCCAGTGCAACCTGCCAGCAAGGGCAGCTTGTTGAGCAACTTGTCCGATGTCGAAGAGCTCGAGGAACCTCGAGATTGAGAAGTTCCCACAGTCGAACAATGAACATTATGGACAATTGATGTTGGCAGTGAAACGAACACACACCAACTTCAATAATTATCCACAACGATTTGTAGACTCGGTATTCTTGTCATTATGTGCTTTTTCCTTGTCGGGACTGCAATCAAGATTTACGTAGCAATAATCTAGAATACATTGTAGCAAGTCCAACACAATAGAAAAGTGCCATACAGGTTCGGATGGTAGAACGCTCTAATACAAGTACACTTAGAATCTCTGTGATGCAAATTCACCGACGAATATCATTCGCAGAATGATAGGCATCCTATCAGGAGGTAAGTAACATCTTAATTTTCAAATGCAAAGATGAACCAAAAGTGGGACATCAAAGTCTTTGCGCACATCAAGCATTGCTCACGCACTGCTTGAATGGGCTTTGAACCAATTGTCATCATACCAATTGCGGGGGAGACATGCGATTGCAATAGAATTTTTTGAGGTGCATTTGGCCTCCATGAGACGAAGAAGCGATGAGTTACCAACCAGGACTGACATGTTCTCCTCATACACTGCGGGAATGTAGGTCTCAATAGCGTGAAGGAGGTCAGTGATGGCTGGACTGATCCATGGGAGAGCCATGCGCCTCACTATCTTGGGTGTCAGTTTCATCCCCACTCATTCCATCAACATCAAGCCAATCAATTATGCGCCTGATCGTGTCCCAAGATTGAGGATTACGGTGGCGATTTTGGTCAATGATTTTCCTATGTCTTTCGAGCATCTACAAAGACATTAGAGACAAAATGGTGGAAAGAATGATATCCACTTACCCCATGTTTACGGGTATTACACCTATCTAGGTGTTGCCTTCGACTATTACGATAAGACAAGTCACAGGTAGCGGTTCATTGTATCGTCGTCAAAAATTACCAATGGGAAACTGCCTGTCTTGACTTTTTCTTGAAAGTCTACTACTAGTAAATCGACCGCCTCAGTGTTCCACACAGAGGACCTCAAAGAGTCCTGCCAATCGATAGCAATTTTGTCCAAAGTCGGCGGGTTATCATTATCACGATTATATGCTTCGACCACATGCGACGGAGGCGATTGCGGCAGGGGACCATTCTTGGACTTCGACTTCAGAAGGTGTTTATCCCGAAGATATTTACGAAACGAGTCCTGTAATTAATATTGATTAGTCCCTTTTTCACAAAGACGTAATCCAGACGTACATGTAAATGGTTTTTAGTACCCCGCTTTCCTGGATGCTTCCTGTGAGGGGAAGGGGTGAGATCGTCCTCATGTTCAGGCTCGGTATTGTAATCTTCAACAGACCCGCGTTTCAAGACGTGAGGGTGGTGAGAGCACAGAGAGGAGAGACCTCTAATCTCACCCGCTATCCATTCAACCATCGCCGGGATCATACTGTCAACAGCTTTGCTAAGAGCAGGACCGACTATTTTGTCAGATAATTCAGTGAATTGCTTATTTAACAGCTGGCCCAAATAAGTTTCTGCAGTGTTTGGTAATGGCAATAGTCTCGTTCGCGTGGAGCTGGTGGAAGGAGGATGTTGAATTGGTTGTAAGACAGGGGTAATGAGCAGAGGAACGACTTTTGCTATGTCCTGTTCCATCACATCATCATTGACCTGGGATGAATGCTCGTCGTCATCGTCGTGTTGGGTATCTGAGGTGGTCAGATAGACAGGTATAGTAGACACTGGAGAGACTGTAATTGGCGTTGTTGGAGTGATAGTAGCCATGTCAGTATGTGTTGTAGGGATGGACGGAGACATGGGTATCGGAATAGATGGAGAACCAGACAGCGTGGATGACGATGTGGTAAGAGGCGAGAACGGATACTCGGTCGTGTTAAACTGAGAGTCGGCAAATGTAGATAAAGATTCAGGGGAGGCGATATTCGACAGAGAGAATTGAGGAGTCTGGGACACATGACACATGGAGTGGCTAGAATGTTGCCCTTCGCGCGAAGGGGAGGGTGTGAACGAGGTGTATGGCCTGTATGTTAACGAAGTGTTATCGGATTGTCTGTACTCTAGATTAGCCCGGTGTTCTGGCACACTGGGGGCAGGCAAACCGGGGTTCCTGCGAGTGAGGAAACTAGAAAAATTGCAACCTTATAAGTGACGGTGAAAATGTCCAACTTCACCACGTACTTGCGGGCAGTTCACCCAATTCCAATAATAGCTGTAGCAAGATTTTGAGGATTGGGGTGGATCTCGGGTTCATCATCCAGCATTACATTATTACTGTGATGAGCCATAATCACAGATAGGAAATTGGTCTCAAAGGATGTATTATCCTGTATTTAAGGCTCACATTGCTGGGAGCTTTCGACCATTGAAGCGAAGCTAAGGAGAATGAACTTGCAAAAGTTACCGTAACAACAATTGAAAACTTAGCATTTGGACAATAAGATTCCATCACTCAAGACCATCAACCTATTGCCTGGGCGGTGTATCAGTTAGCACAGAAAATCAAATTAACTGACTTGTACTTACACACTTCATATTGCACCATTGAGTAGCACCGTAAGTCCGACGCGTTATGACAGCTTGTTGTTCTTCAAGGGTGTTGCACCATAGGCCTGAACTTGAGGGGCATTGTCATGAGTCATGACACTTTTTTTGTTCTTCAAGCTTCCGGTCAGAATGACTATAATTCTGACATTAGGACGCTCCTACATAATATAATGATTTAATTGATATTAAGACTGTAGTCGCTGCTATGACGCAGCTACAAAATATAATAACATTAAGACTTAGTCGTCGCTATAGCTATAGCTAACACAACACATGACAGAACAAAAGGAAGTAAGGAACGAGATTTCGAATGCTTAAGTAGTGAATGGCAGATTTAGACTCCACTGGAAATACCTGAGTGGTTGAGCGGGCTGACGTAGAGTGGCTGCCAGATTTGTCCGTCGGAGTTCCGACTGAGTCTCATTCACTACTTAGGAAACATTACACTAATATTTTCCTTCCGTCCATCATTCATTGCCTTAAGTACGTGTATTGTACATTAGTACTTATTATGAGTAGCCTTCCTTTGTAGTCTTTTGTAGTCATCGAAGTCTTATTGTATATAAGCTATTGTTACAGGTAACCTTGTATAATTATGATTTTGCAAACCTTGCTGTACCTCGAAAACTAGTATACATACTGCAGGGTATCATTTCCGCACTCACATTTGTATAGAAATCTGTTTGCGTTCACATTAACCTACATACTGCAGGGTATCTCATCACACATGGTTTTACATCGGGTCAGTCAGTCATTCTGCTGGTCCAAGTCCCCCCACTCACATTTGGTATAGAAATATGCAGGCTCTCGTTTAGGTTCGCGTCAACTCGAAAAACTCCGAGATCGCATTCAGGAATCAACCAATGACTTCTATGTCGTCGAAGTGCGTCTTGTCAAGGCTACCAAAACGCCCATCGCTTTATGAAAGGTAAGTCTTGACGTCTTACTGGTATCATCCCTGCCTTTATATCATATTTGCAGCCTTATTCTCAGCTGGCCCAAGCAACGGCGATTGCACTTTCAGTCGCATTCTTAAGCTTTGCCAGCGTTTTAGCTGTCCTCTCACTGGATTATCTACAGAGATATCTAAATGCACAGTAGATTCATGTTTAATCGTGCCATGTGTTATCCAACCACTCTAGAAATGTAAATGTCCGTGGGAAAATGATCTCAGTACTGTACCGACCCCAGGCCTGATTACCCCGCTCAGCGGATCACTCATATGACTTACGCACATTTTTAGGATCGTTGCCCGGATCCAACTCCTGGGCATATCCTTGTACATATTTGTAATTTTTCCTGTCTCTGCCCACCCAACATAGCCGCACTCTGTCCTCTCACCCGATTTCAAACAGAGTTTAAATTCATCACTTATCTGATAATGCGACATATCTACTATTTATATATGAATATGTATTGGGCACATATACCCATTATTTTCATTATTTCATTATAAATCTGACAATAAAACAAACTGATGTCGACAAATTGAGCATTTTAGTTCATGCATATTCCCCATTTAATTATGAATCTGAGTTGCAATCTAATTGTGAACATTATCAGACTTTGATCACGACTCTTGAGGCGACCTATATCCTTTTGCATATTAAAAATTTGTTGCTCAATTTGAATAGGATCTGTCACATCCTCTTATTTGGCCATGTCTCAGGTGTCATTGCACGATTTGAAGAGCCTTGGGATATAGCAGATCGAGTTCCAGATGCGCAACGACTTTGGGACCGTTGTTTTACAGGTCACTCGCACACCCTCCAGAAGAAGAATGATCTGGTGTTCTTCCTAGTAAGCAGCTTGTTTTCCATGTTCTCACTACTCATGTTCCTGCAGATCAAGCAATGCACGTACGACTGGCGCAGCATGTTCGCAACATGTGGCGAAAAGGCCGTGACGGCCTTCATCTCACGGCAGGTCACAGGCTTTGATACACCCGTTGAAATTGAAGCATACGTTGAATGGGCCGTCCCCCAAACTCAGGCCTTTCATGATGATGAAGGCAGAGGAAATGCACCTCCGATCTTGCCATTCATGTGGGCCAATGTTGACGAGAGCGACTCTGAGAATCCAGTAAGTGGCTAGCTCTCAACTGAGCAAATTCATTAACTGGTGTTTTAGATAGGGAAGGGGCCGTTTCAGCACGAGACAATCCTCGATACATTTGCCTTCTATCTCGAAAGTATAGCTGCGATACCTGACGGCCTCTGGAAGACCTCGTCCCCCAAAGCTGCACTTGCCCTCGCAACTGTCGCGGTATGTTTGTTTTATGTCTTCCTCGACAGTTGTCTCATGTGTATTCACAAGGTCGAGAGAGCATGGAAGCAATGGGCTACAGGTGAATTAGTCCAGGACTCATTCGATGATAAATTTTCGTCAGCGATGTGGAATCTTCCAACACAAGAGGTCCTTGAATCCATTGACAAACTCAAACCTCGCACATGGACGAAAATACTCGAAGGAGCTGCGCACTTCATTGGGGCCCATAAGCCCAAGTCCATACGAGCTCAACAATGTTACACAGGTGGAGCAGGATTATCAGGAAGGGCTTTATGTTACGAGTCCGAGTCCGAGTCCGAGTCCGAGTCCGAGTAGTAGGTTAGAAATTTGTATGGTCAGGTCTACTACAGCTATGAATGGACTGTTTTGTTTGGTATTCTGGTGCTTGGGCAGACTGATAGACTGTTGTTTGAGAATTGACTGCCACTGTGGAATGCTTAAATTGTTGGGATATTTGATTTCCTGCAAAGCTAGTCTACTGAAACACTAGGCTACTATGGAACTGTGAACTTGGAATACTCGGCTACTAGACCACTAGATTACTTGATTACTAGGCTACTATGGAACTATGAACTTGGAATACTCGGCTACTAGACTACTAGATTACTAGGCTACTATAGAACTGCGGACTTGAAATACTCAGCTACTAGGCTACTGTTCTATTGGAATAATGGTCTACTGGTTATGCTGGAATACCTGATAGCCTGGTCAACTGAATACCTGCTATGCCGATCATCCTAGTATACTGAAGAACTGATGAGTCTGGAATGTCGAAACAACTGGATGGCTGATGACCTGAGTGGTTGAACTCACTGGAACATCTGATATACTGGATGATTATAATGACTGAATTCAGAAATGGACGCTACAGATTCCAGAAGAAATCTGGATGTCTGAAGTTACTGATATGCTGAATTCAGGCTCCTCAGGTGGATAAGTGAGGTCCAGGATTTTTTGGCATCTTCTGATGTGGGAGGAAAGAAGCGGCCAGCATGGTGATTGAGGAAGCGCCAGAATCAGACAGAAAGAGTGGAGGTGCATCACGCCCTAGCATGATAGGGACTGCAGGTAAAGGAATGGAAGGGGGAGTGACAGATGGTGTGGAAGGCATTATGAGAGAGGAGTAAGAGTTTAAGCAAGAGCTGGATACATGGCTGGCCTCTTATATAGGTATGTGAGAGTCTTCTGATGAAGACGTAAGCAAGGTGACAGGCCCATATATCAAAGGGCTAGGTAATTATCAAGATAGATTCGGCTCCAAAAAGGAAGCGAGGTTGTAGATGATAAGAAGATGATAATGGGTTTGTGGCAGAGCTATTGGTTCAGACAGGGGGGGGTGTGGTGTGCCAGGAGAGGGCAATCTAATCCTGAGATAAATCTGATTAACAATAAGGGGGGTTGGCTGCCATCTGGTGTCCAAGGGGCCATTAAGCACAGTTATAAGGGATGCAGTGAGCAAGGAGGATTTGTGCACAATGAAAGGCAAACTCAAGACATCTCTGAAGGGAGCGGGTGACTAGGATGCAGCTGCAAAGAACCATTGGCTTCAGTCGGATAGAGCAAACATCCATCCTCACTTAGCACCAGCAATACCCATTTTGGGTAGAGCCCTTTAGGAAGATATGAACCGGTACAACATGTGCACCGAAAAACCGTTGGGCAGACGAAGGCAACTAGCTTAGAACCAAGAATCATGAATGCAGGTGTAGGGAATGCTCAGGACTCAAAAAAAAGTGGGCCAAGAGGACTAAGGGCAAAAACCATCCTGAGCGCAATGCCTCTCGGCCACAATAAGGTATGGTGCAAACATGAGGCAATATAACTTTCGCAATGACTTGAAGGCCACTCAGGGCGGCTCCATCGAGTGCCCAGACAGTATAAAAGGATTGTGATCACAACAACGCAAACACTCAAAGAGATGTTCAGACAAACACAAAGTCCAGGTACACTGGCCTTGCCATGGCAAAAATAAATAAATAAATTGGATAGACAATAGTACGTATCATGAAGATTAGGTTAATGCTTGCAGCAAAAGTGGTCGCTTGATACGATCTGGTGTAACTGCCCTACTCCCCAGAAGGTGATAGGCCGGGATGGTTGCCTGGGCCAGCAGGGAGGAAGGAAGGAATCGCCAGCAGAGCGAATAGTGTATGTGCAACAAACTATGCAGCCTGCCCATTGTAGCAGGTGGGTGTGCTTGAAGGGCTAGGCGAGAGCGGTGACCAATAATGATGGCCCACGAGTCGGTCATCAGACCTGTAGGGAATGCTACTGGGGCTGCGAGAGAGCCTGAACTGACGATCCAAATCACAGTATGCGGAGAAGTAGGGCAACACGCAATTCACTAGCATAATTGGCGATGGAGACTGCTGGGACAGCGAGGGGAAACAGCGCATGTAGGTGGTGGTGAAGCCCAATGGCCATAAATAACTAATGCCGAAGGCAAATGACCATCGGAAATGGGGCTAAGAACGATGCTTGCAAAGGATGAAAGGGAACACAAAAATTCAGATGCAGAGGGTATGGGCATCGTATCTGGTGCCCAATGCCCAATGAGCAATGAGAAACCTGAATACACGTCCCAGGACGGACTGAGAGGGAATCATTCAATGCGGCTAGGATGTAGAATCGTGACATTGGGGATGACCGAGCGACTCATAGTGAAGCACCCAGCCTATGATAGCGAAACCAAGTAGATGGCTTGCGATGATGACGGGCACATGGACTATGGCGGTGATGACGGGCATGGTAACCTGCGACGGTGACAATAGATAAGATAGACTACCATAGTGATAACAGGTAAGTAGCCTGTGACGATGATCAGAGGTATGCTAGCCCATGACGGTGACAATAGGCTAGGAGCCCACGACGGTGACAATAGGCATGGTAGCCACGACGGTGATAACAGGCATGGTGGCCTACGGCAGTGACAACAGGCAAGAAGCCCACGACGGTGACAACGGGCCAGAAGCAGCGGTACCGACAGGCACGTAGCCCTTCGGTGACGAGAGGCATGGCAGCCCACAACGGTGACAAGGGGCATGGCAGCCCACAACGGTGAAAAAAGGGCATGGCAGCCCACAACGGTGACAAGGTGCATGGCAGCCCATAACAGTGACAAGAGGCCTGGCAGCCCATAACGGTGATAAGAGGCAGGTAGCCCCCAACGGTGACGGAGGCATGGTAGCCCATGACAATGACAAATAGGCAAGTGGTCCGTGACGGTGATGACCGATATGTGGCCCGCGACAATGGTGATGGGCAGGTAGCCTACGATAGTGACAATACGCGAGTAGCCTACGATGGTGGCGACTGGTGTCTAGTATTGTATGAGGGAAGACGGTGAAGCAACTCGACGGACCAGCAGTATCAGCGCTATGAGAGTTCGAGCGATCGCTCGCGGTGTAGCCAAGGCGAATGAAGGATGGACCATGGCTACGAGAGGGGGGACATAGACGGCGTGATAGGAGATAGGACTAGTAGAAATACAGCCTAATGTGACATGTCCGAACGCGCAGGAGTGTTTAGGTTGGCATGTAAATGCAGATTCAGGCTATAGGGCTTTAGTTTCCGAGCACGTAGGGATTATCAAAGTAAAGCTTGGTGAATGCGGTTGAATCAGAATCACTCGCGATATCAAAGTGAAAATTATGCGAGCGAGCGATAGGGATGGTAGAAAATGAGCGAGCGGTTCGTATATCGTAGGCTGTAGCGAATTGGTGGAAATCGAGAGGATGAAGAACAGGCTTCCGCTCAGCTGGACGTGTGGTGCCGGTTCCTTCCGTGCCTCCAGGAACCCGCACCTTTGGCATACCGCAGCAGTCGCAGCAGTGGCGCAGCATTTTCCTTGTGCCCAATTTCGATGAAACTCCGTTCTGGCAAAAGGCATTTATAGCGGTGATAATCGCAAGGTCATGTTTTCTGTGCATCATGGCGAACCAACTGGCCCTCCCTACTCTCGATAACCTCAGAAGCTCAGTTCCTCCCGATGTCAATGTTCAAGCCATCGCGAGTCAATGGTTCTTAACTTTCGCGGAAGCGATGCAATCAAAGAATATAACAGCAGTCATAGATCTCCTCGTCGATGATGTCTTCTGGCGCGATATGCTCTCCTTAACATGGGACTTCCACACCTTCCAAAGCATTCCTTCCGTGAAAACATTCCTCACAGACCAACTCCCATTATTCGCCTTGTCTTCTTTCAAACTCAGGGAAGATCTCGTAGAGCTTCAGAGACCATACCCAGATATCGCTTGGATTCAGGCGTTTTTTGACTTTGAAACTACAGTCGGCATTGCATCTGGGGTGTTCCGGCTTGTACCACTCGCAGATGGCTCATGGAAGGCCCATACCGTCTTCACGAACTTGGAAAATCTCAAAGGTTTTCCAGAACAGAATGGGCCCAGACGAGACTACCAGCCAAACCATGGAAAGTGGGCTGTGAAACGTGCACGTGAAATTGAATGTATCGACGAAGAACCCAGCGTCATAGTGATAGGAGGCGGGCAGAGTGGGCTCGACGTTGCAGCCCGGCTTAAGATGCTTGGTATGAAGACTCTAGTAGTGGAAAAGAACGAGAGGATTGGCGATAATTGGAGAAAGCGTTATGCAGCGCTGTGTCTCCACGATCCCGTCTGTGAGCCTATCACTATGTCAGAATATCATGTTTGCTTCTTGCTCAATCCACCTATGTGTAGGGTATGACCACATGCCATACATTCCGTGGGTCTCACACCTCGGTTCATCCATGACTGTCTAACCAAACATTACGCAGGTTCCCTACCTCGTGGCCTGTCTACACGCCTGCATTGAAACTGGCAGATTGGCTAGAATCATATGCACACAGTATGGAGCTTGACGTTTGGACCAGCGCTACGGTCATGTCCGTCATTCCGGGTACGAAGGGAAAGAAATGGAGTGTCACGGTCCAACGTCCTGACAAAGGGGAGCGTACCTTTGAGGTCAACCATGTCGTATTCTCCTTGGGCTTTGGCAGTGGTATGGGCCGAATTCCAGATATCCCAGGGCAGGTTCGTTCGATCCATGAATGCAGGGTCCTCAGGCTAACATTAAATACCCACATAGGACAACTTCAAGGGGCAGATATTGCATTCCAGCCATCACAATCTTGCAACTGATCACGCAGGGAAGAAGGTCGTCGTTGTTGGCGCTTGCACGTCTGGTAGGGGTCGCATCATGAGTGTCGTATTTTCACTGCTCACTGTAAAGTGTAGCGCATGACATATGTGCGGACTATGTCGAAAATGGCGTTGGTAAATGATTTTTTAAAGCATATTGGTGGTACTCAAGCAAAATTGGCGCAGATGTGACCATGGTTCAACGTAGCCCGAGTTACATCATGTCCACAAAGGAGGGTATGCCGAGGTTAATGGGTGAGTTATCTGTTATTTTACAATTTTGCTATTATAAACGCACCCAGCGATCTTCTGGGAGGGTGGCCCTCCTACTGATGTTGCGGATCGCGTGAATGCGTCTTACCCCAATTCATTGCTCAAATTAATACATCAACGTGTCACCAAAGACATTGCTGATGCCGATAAGTACGTGATTACATGTCATATTCCGGTTGCCTGATAGAGGAGGGATTCAGGGAGATTCTTGACGGCCTGCGAAAACGAGGCTTCAAGACAACTTTGGGCGACGACGACTCAGGCTTTCCACTTATGGCATGGAATAAGGGAGGAGGATACTATCTCGGTTGGTCCATCTGCGGATTGGAGCGTGTCTGCGCTGACCATATAATGTTAATATCAAGATGTTGGAGCTTCCCAGATGATCATCGACGGGAAGATTAAACTTAAGAGCGATGGGCCAATCTCGCGCCTTACCCAGACAGGTTTACTTTTCGAAGACGGTTCTACTCTCGATGCGGACGTAGTGGTCTTCGCTACTGGGTACGTTGTTCTTACTGACCAATAGACATTGTGATTCACATTATTATCAGCTACGCTGATGCACGTCATGCCTATCGTGCTCTGCTTCCGGAGTCCCTGCATGATAAATTGTATCCTATCTGGGGCCTTGACAAAGAAGGAGAGCTGAATAGCGTCTGGCGCGAAGTTGGTGGACGCAACAAGAACGCGGAACTCAATGGCATATGGTGCATGATGGGGAACTTGGCGCTTTGTCGGTTCCACTCCAAGCATATCGCATTGCGTAAGTCGTTTTCTGTCCTCCTGATTCCGGTTTGATGAACTTGATGACATTCAGAAATCAAATCATACGAAGAGGGGATTTTTGGGACAAGGTATCAGTGAAGAACGCAATGTGTCCGCAGTATATGTTGTATTTGTATTTGTTCTTAAGGTTCGAGAAGCGGATTGTACAAGTATATTTGAATGTATGTGTATTATTTGGCACACATCCAGGAATTTTAGCAATCCTTGGGAATATGCCGTGCAACACCTCCCGCTAATTTCTCGCGCCTGTTGCTGCATGCTACCGCTTTCCTGCACCTGCTGTCCTCTCACTTGCATGAAGGGTTTTTTTTCCCTTTCTTGTAAATAATGGAATCATTGAAGGCCTCCTCTAGCGTGCTCTCGTACCGTCTTACATGAGCTCTCACATGTTGTGCCTGCCGCCACCCTTGTGCATAATTTGCGCTCTTGCACACCACACGGTGACAGTGTATGTATCGTTGACGAGTGCTCGTATGACTTTTCGTTCTTGATCGATATCATTCCTTTGTAGTTGACTGGTCGGTAGCTAAATATCTATCTTGACGTGGTGTTTCTTCATAAAAACAATCAAACAAGAACCCGACTTGCAAAGAAGTATGATGAGGGACAGGAACACGCACACCAGGATATCGATTTCAAGTATGATCCTAGTCTTCAGGTATCGCTCAGAAATCTACAAATAGAGACGCACAGAGCACTGTTCAATGATCTCGTCAGATGAGTCGATCAGCACGTCTTTATGTCTCTGTATGTGCGAAGTTGCAGCCACGTCGTCACATACAGTTCGATCGAGACTGACGGTGATGAGATCAGCAATACCGAAGCACCTGTAACACATCGGCATGATGTCTAAGGGCGTTCTAATGAAATGAGTTTTCGCTACAAATCAGCAGCAACATTGCTGCAGGTTCGCCCAGTCTGCTTTTCGGTGCATCGTTCAGTCGGACAACCATAAGTTCAAGATGGGTGCTAGGTATGATATAGGAAGGATATCATGAAATCCAATGGTACACTTGATATTGCAGTAATAAAATCATCGTTACGTGGAGCTGGAGGGATTGATGTTAGCAACTACGAGGACGGATGCTAAAGACTAAGAACTCACGCATCCCGGCAACTCGACCAGCGCGTCCCATGCGCCATACAGCTCAAATCAAGTTCAACGCCTCCTCTCGGAATCACCATTGCAGTGTCAGGAGAATAAAACACAGTTTGGGAAGCGGGAGGTACCCAGAAAAGGAGCTCATATCTGGGTCCCATGATCCATCCATCAGGCTGCAGTAAGAAAGGGTTTGAATTGGAAGGATGATCAGAGGTGGGTTCGAGCAAGTCAGCGGGGTTGGGCAGGGCGTGTTTCAGGGAGGGCGAGAAGGAAATGAGGGGATGGTTACTGTTGGTTGGCGTGATACGATTTTCTTGAGTGGGAGGTGCGGTACTTCGATGCAGTGGAGATGCAGAGGCATCCGGCTCTCTTGACTCGAGGGATAGCAGCACTTTCATAAGCCGCACTGTCTTGTCGTCTGAACCAGACACGATACGAGTACCATCCGGTGAGAACGAGACTGAGTAAACCGCGCGAGTGTGCCCCTTCAAGGGCTCGCCCAATGGCTGTCCCGTCGTTGCATTCCACAGCCGCACAGTGTTATCCTCCGAACCAGACGCGATGCGAGTACTATCCAGTGAGAACGAGACTGACCAAACCGCGGCAGTGTGCCCCTTCAAGGGCTCACCCAATGGCTGTCCCGTCGCTGCATTCCACAGCCGCACAGTGTTATCCGATGAACCAGACGCGATGCGAGTACCATCCGGTGAAAACGAGACCGAGGTAACCGCGTCAGTGTGCCCCTTCAAGGGCTCACACAATGGCTGTCCCGTCGCTGCATTCCACAGCCGCACAGTGTTATCCCATGAACCAGACGCGATGCGAGTACCATCCAGTGAGAATGAGACTGAGATAACCGCGTCAGTGTGCCTCTTCAAGGGCTCACCCAATGGCTGTCCCGTCGCTGCATTCCACAGCCGCACAGTCTTATCCTGTGAACCAGACGCGATGCGAGTACCATCCGGTGAGAACGAGACTGAGTAAACCGCGCGAGTGTGACCCCTGATTATGGCTTGAACAGCCGTCCAGTTCAAATGACGGCCAGATGCCAGACGAAGGCTATTCGGAAACCGAGCCGTAAATTTGGTAGCAATGGTAGAGTTGACGGGGGAGAACGGGAGTGCCGATAAATACAGATGGGGTGTGCTGTGCAAAATCATGCCGCCAAACACTTGAATGAATCTTTGTACATCCATCGTGGCGGACTGCAAATCTTCGTATCCAGAATGGCCCTGTATTTATGTATGAGCTGTTCGTCCGACCCTGCCTCATAGGCGTGTGCTCACCTTCAGCCACTTGGCAATGAGTGGAAGCACAGCATTCGCGCCGCTGATTGCATTGAGAAGTCCGAGTGCTTCGATCCAGAACATCAGTCGCTCGTCGTCGAAGAGTGAGCTTATTTCCTTTGCGAGCTCTTCGTCAAACTTCGTTGTCTGGACATGTGTAGCCCAATATCGACAGGAATAGGACAGATGTGGGGAAATGGATCTTTTGACTCGTTCAGGCAGCTCCGTGTCTTGGGAATTAGGGAGGTACGATGACTTTAAATTACAGATATTAAAGCCAAGACCATCTTTCATCACTCGTAGCGACGCGAATGCAAGGTCGCGTTGTTGCCCCTTCGTTCTCTCGACGAAGAAATCTCCGCTGAATGTTTCGTCCATCAGGAATTCTTGGAATGACGCATGAAGAGGTCGGATGGGGGTATATGAGTCGGTGGTGCCGCTGAGGAGGGATCCCATATGTTTGATCACTAGATCTACTTCGTAATGGTCGTGGTCCTCCGGAAAATGGTGCCGCATAGCATTCAGTGAAACTAAAGGGAGAGGTTCGGCTGTGACAAGTATTTGTCCCATCACGGAACGGAATCTCGCTATTGCTTGCTTGTGGGCTGTTGTATTTTTATCTTTTGGCATGACTTCTGTTAAGATGAGCCTATACATATCATACAACAAGTTCTTCCGCTCCCCCGGATTGCGGTTCACGACGGCATTGAAGCGGTCCGTTGAAGATGAACCGAACTCGGGTTCCTTGATGTATTTGCATGCGAGACGCGCCCACTCAAAGAGTCCGTCGGCTTTCGCAGCGAGCGTTGCAAGATGGTTGTCCTGAAATTCTGATAGCTCTTTCAGCTCCTCAGATACGAAGGCCTGAATGTCGCACTCCGCGACATCAGGTGGAATATCGTCCATTGATAACCGTAGAATATGATCAGCGCCTTCAAACCCCTTTTCGATGTCGGGAAGCGGGCGAGGTGACGAGAATCCGAAAGTTGGAAGGGAGTTCGGTGATTTGGGGAAGTCCATTGTTCTGAAGTTTACCGGCAAGTATGCGGAGAAGGTCCTGCCGCGTCTCCACTCCGCAGCTCTCGTCCATCGCATCGATCACGATCAAGACGGGCCCCACGCTTGACCCAGGGAACTTCTTCAGCGGTTCCACAAGAAGCTTGCGCCACTGCTGGAAAATGTCCGTCGTATTCTTGAGCGAGGTCGCATTCTTGACTGCATTTGCTAACGCTCGTTTCATCCCCAGATCACGATCAGCAAGATCGCGCGCGATGGTGGAGAAAATCTTTTCATGGCGACGGTCTGCTTCTCTATGCTGATCGAAACAAAAACATGAACCGAGACCTCCCGTTTCCTCGAACCAGTTAGCAACCGTGTGCGCGATGGCTGATTTGCCTTTGCCTGCAGGGCCAGATAGCCACATCACACGTTTAGCAGCATCTCCGCTGTCGTTGATCCAGTCCGTAATCTGGGAAAGAATCTCCTTGCGCGTCCCTGGTAGGCATTGCTTCGTGGTATTTAGTCCTGCTCCCGCTGCATAAGTCATGCCGTTGAGATCGAGTGTTTCACCTTTAAGAGTATGAGTGCATATAGAAGAACAGGTACGTATGAATCGTTACCCGCAAACTGGACAAAGACAGCTACGTCCCGATCAGCTTGATCCCGAAATTGTTGCATAAGGCCGTCCAAGGCGTCGTTGTACCGTCGTTTCCGCAATGACATTTTTACCGATTCTCTTCCTTATTATCATGATGAGTATAAGGTTCGTGCCAGTGTGAGAATGCAATAGTTCGACGACTCACAGAAACTCTTCGTCTCTGAGTATTCCCTAATGAAACGGGCACACTCGAGAGTCTTCTGAGCAATCTTTCCGATGACATCATGCATCGATTCAACCTTGGAAAGATTGTCGTCTTCGGTAATGAAGCCATAGACTTCATCTGATTTCTGGAGAAGACGATCTACCGACTCGTCCCGCTTCGCTTGAGCAAGAATAATCTGGATGGATCACGACTTCTGAGTGGGAGGCAGATCTCCGGGCAACATACAACGTACTTTAGCTGCAGCAGAAAGTACGCCCAACGCCATCTTTGCATATGGATGCAGCTATAACTTGATTAGTTCGCTACCAATTAAGGGGAGTATTCCATACATTTGCGATCTTCTCGATGGTACTGTCGAAAATTTTCAGGGGCCAGAGGTAATTGGTCGGGAAATCATCTGCAACAGCGAGACCAGCTGGGGCGTTCCTGGCGGCGGACATCACAGACTGCGCACGCTCCCCGAATGTTTTCATGTGTTCTGAAGCCTCGTGGGCATCTTGAATTTCAGCACCAACTGATTTGGGACCACGGGTTTCCTCGACACCAGGGGAAATGTCGAGAACCTGCGCGACCAACAAAATTTAGAGACGAGAACCGTATAATTTGATACGAGTACCTTCGAAGCGGGTTCTCCGGATGTGTCTTGGCTGCTGGGATTTTCAGCTGTGGTGGGATGGTTGTCGTCGGTGGAAGGAAGTGTATCTGGCGTGTTCTGGGCGCCTCTAAGTAAAAAAAATTGAACTGGGATTAGGAATTCGAGTGCCTACCTCGATATTCTGATTCGACGAAGTATCTTGAAGGTCCACATTCTGGATCGCAGGAACGCGGCTGCGGGAATACTTGAAGAATTTCTGCACAATGTCAACTATATTCAGAATCAGGAAACCTAGCAGTCTACTCACAGAAAGCTTCCTAATGACGCCTTTCGCAAATTTCCGAATAGTGTGCTTGACTCGACTACGGGGTCGTCTCTGGGCGAAGAAAGCGTCAGAAGCAGCCATGAACGCTCATCCAAAGTGAGTAAGCCCTTGAGACTACATACCGAGCTTTCAGGAACGGTTGCCTCGCGGGCTTCTAAAGGAAGATCTGGCCCATGGTCTTCACTCATCACGAGCAGTCGATTTAAGCAAAGTGACGGTGCAAGAAGTAGGTGGGAGAAAAGAGAGAACCTCTGGCATGAGCTGAATACCCTTGACCAAAGCATGGCCAACACGTTGACTGGCTTCTTGAAGCGCTGATCGTGATCAATCGGCCATAGCCCGTTGCCGAAGGGAGCATAATCATTCAGAATTCAACCAGGATCTACAAAAGTACACAGGCTTTACATGCGGGAGTGAGCAGCAAGGCATACAAGTGGAAGGTGCACGCAAGTGTCCTCAAATGGTGGTTGAAGGATGAAAGGAGAGACGGAGATAACATTAAAGCAGGTGAAAAGAGAGAAACATGAGGCAGCGGTAACAATGAGATATGGACAAAGGCGGAGAGAAGTGAAATGTTAAATGTGAAATGCGAAGAATGAAGAATGAAGTAGGAAGTAGGAAGAGAAAAGATAGACAGTAGTGCGTACTATATTGCGATACTAGTCCGAGCGAGGGTCCAGCGCCATGGCCATAGGCTTCCTTACATAGTCGAGGAGGGAGAAATTGCCGTCGTGAGACATAGTTGAGCAGGAAGATAGATATCGTTGTAGGAGACAGTCAGAATTCAAAAGGGACGGGCAACATCCTAGATGCGAGTCATGACAACATTTACAAGGGAAATACTCAGCTGGTACCTTTGTGAGGGAGTTCACCGTTCACCGAGTCCTACCTTTACTAAATAACGTACGTATAGAGAGTCGGTTAGTGATGAGTGCACGGCCCGGCCGTGAGCCAAGTGTGGCGTTTATGAAACGTTCACACTAGAGAGTCGATAGGTTTGAATCGTCTTAAGGTTCGAACAGGGTAACTGTCCTAACTAAGTGTTATTCAAGGGGGGGTGAAAATCAACTACCCTACAAGTACATCAGCAATATCTCACATTTCCTTTTCGGTCTGACTCATATTATTGGTCTGAAAAAAGTCGCTAAGTAAAAAAAGGAAACCTCTGATGTTACTTATTCTACTGATACCACTTTTTGCAAACTCGATTCAAATCAACGTTGTAGTATAAGACGCAAAAGTGAATTAAGTGCGATAAGACATTTTTTCGACAAATACATTAGTACGTGAATGGTAACAATTCAGAATCTTATAAGTTTTCAATGGCGCTGAGCCGGGATCAACAAGGAGAGCGGTTTGCGTGCAATCCAAGCACACGCATGAAAAAATCAGCTACTAATCCAATCCCCACATGTGCGCAAGTCGAAGGGAGATCTCAAATGCAGAGATTAAAACCCTCGCCGGGTGAGGAGAATGCAGGAGGGAGCATGTCCCAAGGACACGGCAGGACGGGAGGGCAGCAGAAGGGACATGGATCCCAAGTTGTTTGGTGGAGGTGGCAGGATGGGAGGAGAGCAGAAGAGTAAGGACCGAGCCGTTCACAGGACGAATTAAAATGCAATTTCGAATGCATGATGGTCCGCGAACTTGTTGACATAGAAGGCACGGAAGTTGTCTAAAGAGTGGTAAAATTTGAGATGATGAGGGATGGGATCAGTACCGTAAATGGGAAGGAGATGAGCTGCACGATAGATTGCGTCAATGTGTATCACTGAAATGTCTGGAGAGCGATCATCGAATGATGGCTGAACTACCCACATGCCCGTGTCTTCATCAGGAGCATCACCGATGACGCTGAACCAATGAACAACAGCACACTCGTATAGGACCAACTTGTACTTGAACGAAAAGAAGCATAGCACACGCGCTACTTCGAGTCCTCGCATTCCGTCAAGTTCGGGTCGTGAATTGATAAACACGCAATCATAGCGGGCATGTGCGTTCCTCCATTTCGGGCAGGATCGAATGTATTCTCTTCGCATCCCTCCAACCCCACTTAAATCACTGGGTGCATAGAATCTTGATGATGCTGAATTGACTACTGAGACTTTCCCGTCGTAGACCGGGAAGCTGTCAGCTGGGATAGTAGCATGGTCGCGAGTGTCGTGAGGGTGAAGCTGTTTGAACAGAAAGCTCCCGATGAGTTCTCGTAAGTGTTTAACAGAGAGCTCGATAGCAAGTGCCGCCACGGTTTGAGCACGGTTTCGTTCTAATATAATTATAAGCTATTTAATAACAAAAGCATCAAACCACATACGACATGTTTGAGCAAGCTGCACATGAGCCTCAATCTCAGGTGGCCCATCATCGATCTCACCATTATCAAGTCCATCGTTGTCGTTGTCGTCGGCAGCATTGGATTGAATAGTGTTGGGAATGTCATTCATGGGTTCATTATCGCCTGGATCATCGACATGACCTAATTGAAATCAGCAAAGGAATAATAGTGCGATCTCTATTCACTAACCTTTCATGTTTAAAGCATCACTAAGACATGTACTATTGAGCATACCACGTTTGGTAAAATCTACACGCAATGCTCCAAGTTTGTCGAGTCGCTGATTTGTCACAAGCATTTGCCCGAGTGCGTTGTACCTGTTGGACCGACGCCATGGTTGCTTTACAGCTTTAATATGTTTATTTTCTGTCATTGATGAACAGAGACCGTTCGGCGCTCCAAAAAGACGGATAAGTTCAGGGTAGTGCTTCATTGCATGCTGGCGCGGGAGCGAGAATGTAGGAACGATGCCAAGCTTGAGGAATATTGGACGATAGTGGTGAAACCGGCGAAGGGCATCCTCTATTTGCAAGATTGTGTCCTCCGTGATAACATTCTTTCGGACGAGATAGCAGAACTCCAAGAATGCACGAAATGTACGGACAACGTCCGTTGGTACGTGGCCTTCTATTGCAGGTAGATATATCTACATGTCATTGAACATATATTTTATCAGTCGAGTCTTATGTCAATTAAAAACATACACATACCTTCATGAGCGCTTTAGAGTCGTCCCCGGTCCACTGTTTGAATCCACGGCCCTGCGGAAAACGTCGCAAGCCAGTAAATGGGGCAGCAACAGCCAGACGACGGTCTATGTCGTCCATAATTTGTTCAGCCTTCCTTTTCCCATGAATACGATGGAGGTATTTTTCCACCCACATAACGAGATGATCCTTGAAACAGCCTTTGACGATTTGGTGCAGGATATCTGGTGCGATGAGTTGATGAATATCGGCACGAGGGAAGTCGTTCGTAAAAGGCTGAACATAAATAAGTCCCGCGAGCACTTGCAGCAACTGAATGAAGCGTACCACAACATCTCCAACAATACCAAACTCACGCCGCAGCATATCCACATCAAATGTATCCTCCTCGACGAGAGCCTCTCTATGTGCCTCGCATCGGCAGAGTGCATCTTCATCATCTAGTTTTCCACGTGGAGCAAGACACCTTTGAAGGTATCAGATATCAGGAGAGCAGGCAAAGAACTAGTAAGACAAACCTTGGACACCAGTTCCTCACAATAGACGTAAGTAGAACTTGTTCTTCATAGTCCGCAATATATGGTCCTAATCCAAAAATGACACGTCGATAATGACCGTCACCGAAACGTATGACCTCAGGCTTTGACATGACATCTTTGAGCGTTTCGAGGATCTTGGCGAGTGAGGAATGAAAGATCTGGCGTCGGAAATTCCGAAATTCTTCTTTTTCTTTATGTTCATTGGTAGCTACAAGACTTAGCCGGGTTCCAGTGCGAAACAGTCTGAAAAACTCACTCTTTGGTATGGCAAGAAAGCCAATAAGACAGAGGGCGTTTCGGTGTGCTCGACGGACATTGTTGCGGACATTGCCAATAGATAGATATAATGGATAGTATTCGTTGTTTCCAGTGCCGACGGACACTGTTGTCTTGTCGCTTCCGAGTATTATCGGCACAAATGTTGCTCCGAGATTGTCAGGATCAGCCGCAATGATATCCTGAAAAGCATGATTAGTACGAAGAGGCTAACTTTATAATACCACATACTGCTTGCTGCCAGGCCCAATCGCCCGACATAAAGTCTTGATAACGGCGTTCGTCCTTATCAACTGAATATTCGCGGAAAGGGCGATAATCAAACTCATTTACATAGTCGGGGTTGGTGAGGATGTTTCGTGCAACTTCACAAGGGTCACGATACCAAACTTCGAACTGTTGGTTCATCCATGGAGGCACATCGGGCCCAACAGGTTTCTCTCCAGAGTACTGAATTTTGAAAGACTGCCAGCTGACACCACCGATTGGAATGTTGTCGATTGTGTTATAGAGGTCCTTACGATCTGCAAAAGGTGGCTGATCGCCATGTTTGAGAAGCGATGCAGCCCAGAGATCGAGAAGAATGTTTATATTGGGTGCGGACATTTGTACATGGCTGTACAAAAACTCAGCCGTCTTGAATTCAATCCGATTGCAAAATGGTGACCAGTCATCAGGTGACTGTTCTGCGAGAGGGATTGGTGGAGTACCAGGGGGCAAAAAATTGCCACTTGCATCGCATGGTCGAGCTAAGACGTCATTAACATCAGATGTGCTACTAGTAAGAATAAAAAAGGTACAATCACCATTCAAACCAGTGTGATAATTTCGATACAAAGATTTGCCTGTACCATAGAATTCAGAGTCTACTTCCCGGGCTGGTGCTGGAGACGAGTGGTGCGGAACATCTTCGGAAGGTGCTGTTAGAAAAGAGGTACTGGCGTTGAGACTGGAACTGTGACTCACCATTAGCATTGCCATCTCGTTCTTGTCTTGGTCGTGGTGGAAATGAGTGGTCATAGTGCGGAATATCTTCAGAAGGGATTGTTAGAACTGTGGGTCGGGTAGCAGGAACCGCTGGGACTCACTGGAATTCATATCAGTGTCTACTTCTTGTATTGGTGGCGGAGACGAGCAATTTGGAATATAACATTCTGAAATCAGGGTCAGAAGGAATGTGGTAACCGTTGAGCGAGTCGTACCAGGAGGACTGATATCCATATCCTGCGGCGCAGGTTCATTGGTCCTTGGGTGGCACAGGATTGGGTGCATGATGGTGCGGTGTCTTGTTCGCCCGCCTTGAGATTTGAAATGTTGATTGCATCCAGGATGACCGCAGGGTAACTGAAACGAGTTATGCTTCCTTCGAGAATACTGAGTAGAGCAGGGTGCCATGCGTGCTAGAGTGCCGGTTGAAGAATATT